CACAGGATAGTCAGGCGAAGCTTCTCTCGCAGATCGTAAGTCTTCCAGGTGTTTGGAAAATGTCACATGGTCAGAATAGTCTTAGCTAGTGACTAATCCTGCTTTTTGTCTGAAGACCTTAACCAAAGGAAAAAAAAAAAGAGAATGAACTGTTTTACTTTAAAAAGTGAGAGAGATGTGTATTATAATCTTTGAATTCTAAATGTATTTTTATGTTTGACGAAAGTTATAAATATCTACATGAAAACGGCAACATGGCAGAAAAACAACAGGTAAACCAAATCTAATAAACAGAGTGAAGAGAGGGTCTCTCCACCATTTGTTACGGAAGGAGATCGCATTCTCTTCTGGGCCCGGGAGATGTCATGTGGAGGAAACAAAAATCGCACGTATAGGAGCCCCGAATGTCAGGAAATGGGATACATAACACATTAGGTCAGAGAGATAATCCAAATGAGGAACACACATATGGCTCAGAGTAGACACATTTTATTCAACTGAAATAGATTGATGCAGGAATGAGGCTGACTTCTGGGGCCACCCCCTCACACACCAGGAAGGTTTTTAGCTTAGAGGCTGATGGGGAAAATGAATTATTTGTACACCTTTTTTTTTTTCCTGGCTAGAGCTAAAATTACCATTAAAATGCTCTGGGTCCCTTCCACCCTGCTTAGTCAAGTTGTTTTTGTTTTATTCCCCAGGGGTGTTTATATAGACATTCTTTATCAGACTATAAAGTGATGTGTGATTAATACAGAAAAACTTCAGTAAATATGGAAAAATCGCCCATCATTTTTCCACACATACAATTAACATTTTACTATGGAACATTTTGCTTCTTAAAGTTAGAATGTTGGTTTTAATTCAAAGACTGTGGAAGCCTTTAAAGTAAGTCATATCAGCCTTCCAGGGCAATTAATAATAATTGTTATTATACTTATAATTGTAATATCTATTATTATTACATAATATGGCCCGAGGCCACCATATGAAGCTTTGAGTGGGATTAAAGATCCCTGGGTTCTACTTCTGCTCTGTCACCAACTTGCCCCGTGATCTCGGCAAATTCCTTCGCCAATCTGGTGTCGGCTTCTTGCCTATGAAATGGGAGAATTGGAGTAAAAATGGTTCAGTACCCTGGCTGCTCCTTAGAGTCACCTGGAGGCCTTTTAAAATTTTTGATGCCTACGCCCCACCCCAGACTACAGCTTCAAACTCTAGGTGCAGCCAGAGCATCCCACTTTTTAAATACTCCCCAGGGATTTCAACGTGTAGCCAAGGTGGAGAACTACTGTCCTTATTCTGATTCTGTCATTGGTCTCTAGGGAGGGGATCCCAGTTGGATATTGCTGCTCAGGGGAACACACTTTGAGAACCACTTGCCTTCGGTGTTAGTTAACTGTCTCCCTGCTGTGACATCCTATGAGTTTATGAGTCTCTGGTGAGTACACACAGGATCCTGGATGAGCACATGATTTTGATAGGTCATTTTGTAGTCGGGCGGATGCACCGCTCCGGAAAATTGGTTGAGATGTTGAGACCGATGGAGCCACACGCGCCAAGGAGGAAGCAAAAGGTTTATTACTCTCGGGATGGGATTTTTCTGGGGAGACCGGGGCAAGCTCAAGCCGGTCCTGGTGGCTCGAAAAAAAGTCAGAGGGACGGGCCTTTGTAAGGGCTGGGGGCTCGGCCGTTGGCTTGCAAGTCTTGACCTTCATACCCACGCCAAAGGCGGGAGCAAGTCAACTTTTCTATCAGCTTTCCCAGACGTGGGGCGGGAAAGTTAAAGGTTATCAAGGGTCACACCTCAAAAAAGAGTCAAGCTCTTTATGACGGAAGTTTTGCTTTTTTGTGATACTATTTATACCTGATGACAAAACGAGAGTGGCGCGAGGGATGAGCAGCTCCGCTTCTGCGGACCCCTCAGTGCTGGGTCCTGTGCGAAGTCCTTCGTGCTTAACACGTCATCCAGACCTCACAGAGGTCCCGCGAGGAAGGGGCCACTTCCTGCGTCGCTCCAAGTCGCTCCTTTTCGGATGGAGAAGCCTGGGCCTGCAGAGGTGACATGACTCACCTAAGGTCACACAGCCAGGAAGTAGGGTGGTGAAGACTCGAACCCAGGTCCCGCCTCCAGACATTAGACTCCTGGCCACTGTGCAGTTGGCTCTTTCTTTACAGGAACACAATGCGAACTAGATATTTTGTTCAGCCACATGCGAATTTCCTTTTTTTTTTTTGGCAACTCATGTGGTAATGGGTATCTACGTTATCCAGGTACCTTGTTAAAATGCAGATCCTGACGCAATAAGTCTGGGGTGGTGCCTAATTAATTCCCAGATGTTGATGCAGCTGGTCACACTTCGAGAGACCTCTGCTCTACAGGAAAGTCCACTTTCTGTCAAAGAACAGTCGGGGCTTTGGAGCTTCGAGGCTTTGGACCAGTGTCCCACATGTCCTGAGCACTCCGGTCGCGCACCACCTCCGCACGACTTTACCGGTGCGTCCCGGAACTCCTCCTGGCGGGGGCCGTGGGCTCCCCCTGACAGCCGTGGGGGGCGGGAAGTGAGTGATTTTAACCAGCGGTCTTGGAGCGACCCCTGGTGGTAAAGTGGGGCGCTGCAACTCGCGTGAGGTGACACTAACTCCAGGCCTAGACGGGGGGGCGGAGCGTCCTAAGTGATGGGGCGGAGCCTGCGCTGAGTAAGGAGGGGCCTTGCGGGCACCAGGCTTTGGAGAAGCCTCTGGAGAAGAAAGGATGTCCTTTTCTGTTCCCGGAACTCTGACTTCTCTCCCTGGGCTGTTCTAGAACCCGTTCACGTCCCCGGGGTGACCCTGTCTCCATTTGAGCTGGCTCGCGCGGGTGAGGGGTGGGAAGGGGGTCGGGGAGGCACTCCCTGTCAGCACGCCCCGACCCCAGTGACTGCATGCTCATTTCAAGCCTGGCTCACTTCTGAACACCAGCCACGAGGAATACGAATAGACGGCCACCTCATGAAGGCTGGTGGCCTGCTTTGCAGACGCCGTCTCCCCTACGCCCTGCACCGAGGCCGGGCACGGAGGGGTCGTGATGACGCCGGAATAACCCCTCACTATCCCGGCCCCGGCTCGAGGCTTTTGCACCGACCGTTCCCGCCTCCTGGATGCGCTTCCCTGAGGTATCCGCCTGCCTCACCCCTCGCCTCCTTCGGGTCTTCGCGCCAATGTCGCCTTCTCAGTGAGGGCTCCCCCGCACAACCTAACAGGTGACGTCTGCGAACCCTCTCCTGCTCGCGTCCTCGGGCCCCGCCCACACGATGGCTCTCCCCGCAGACGACACTGTCTAATGCGGGACCCCGTGCGTCTCTAGGAGACTTATTATCTGTCCCCGGTGGGTGACGCTCCCGAGGGCCTGCGTCTGTCCGTCCTGCTCCCCGCCGCGGCCTGGGTTCACGTCCTTTAAGGTTCGCGCGGGGCCCTCGGCCTCCTCCCGGGCGCTGCCTTCTCCCTCCACCGGGTCCTCGGGGCTCGGCACCTCCGGGCTCCCGCGGGGACGACCCCGCTGCCGAGGGCCCTGCGTGGGCCCCGCGCGCCGCGCTTTCCCGCGCGATCCCGGGGCCTTTACGCGGCTGCGCCTTGGACCCGAGACGCTGCCGCGCGCGCCGCTCGGCTCCCTCCCGCCAGGGCGCAGCGTCCCAGCACCATCCTCGCAGGGCGCATCTGGGTCCGGTTCGCCAAGCCCGTCGGTCCGTCAGTCCTTGGACAACTGGAAACTGCGCGGCCCCGTGTGCGGACACTGGCCTGGCGCTGGGGACGCGGCGGGCGCCAGGACGCACCACGCTCTCGTCTCCGGAGCGTCCCCGCCCAACTCCCCTCGCTCGCCCGCCCACCCCCCATCCCTGGCTGGGACCCTCGGCCTCAGCCACGTCCCGATTCCTCTGCCAGCCGCGCTGCTGCTGGTGGCCCGTGGGCGCTGGTGGCAGCTGGAAGCGGAAGAAGCGGGACGCTGTCTGGAGGCTGCCGAGGCTGCGGTGGCAGCAGCGGTGACGTGAGCCAGGGCTCCCGGGTCCCTCTCCAGGCCGCTCCGCTCTGCGCGCGGAGCCTCGGCCGCCCCGGGACCCGGGCTCTGGGCAGCCGCATCCCCGGGGCGGGAGCGGCTCACTGAGTTCCTAACCTCTGGGCAACGTGACTTCCCCTTTTGCACGTTGCCTGCAAAACTCATGTCACCAATTCCCTCTAGCGAGCCCCCTGACGAAAACAGTCAGTGCGCTATTTAGAAACAAAGAGACTCTGAAAAAGAAGGCGGGCATGGGCGGGAAGAGTGAGACTTTTAACGGGGCGGTCAGGGTGACCTTGCCTGGGCATGTGACCCTTGAAGGACAGCTCCGTGCAAATATCCCGAGAAGGGCACTCCGGGCAGTGGGAACAGTAAGTGCAAAGGCCCCGAGGTAGGAACATGTTCCACGTGTTCCCTGAACAGCAAGGGGGTGGCTGACGTCAGAGAGAGTGGGCCATGCGGCAGAGAACTAAAATGGGGACAGAGTGAGCAGACCAGTGCTGTCCCAGAGAACATTCTGCGATGGTGGAAATGTCCTCTGCTTGCACTGACCACGTGGGGCCTTTGAGCACATGCAATGTGGCTGGCATGGCTGAGGAAGTGGATGTCCACGTTTAATTTTAAGTTTAAATGGCCCAAAGTGGCCAGTGGTATTAGAGAAGATCTGGACCAGCATAAGGTCTTTGGCAACTCCATCGGACATCAGACATAAGTCCTAAGAGGACCCCTCGGGCAGCCCTGTAGCCATGTAGAGGGGTACGCCTGGGATCTAGGTAGGAGGGGAGGCCTCTTAGTCTGGGGTCCAGGGATGAGCCTTAAAGATCAAGCACAGGAGCTGGGGCTGAGCAGAGGTGACAGACACAGAGAATAGAGAAATGTCGGTTAAGCGCCAGGATGGGAAGAATGAGGGTGGCATGAGCTGAGCTCAGAGCCGGGCCCTGAGCGGGCTGGGAGTCGGGAGCTGGGTGGGGCGAGAGCGTGTTCAGGCTGGGGTCTGATGAGGTAAGATCGGATGGAAACTGACACGGGAGCTAGTGAACGGGGCAGAGGTTTGACCAGGACGTGGGAAGGAAGGTGAGCTCGGAGCCAGGATTGAGGATGAGGGCTGGGGCCCCAAAGGTGTAGTTGGGTGGGCCAGCAAAGGGGGTTTGGTGGCAGGGACCTAAAGATGATGGACGGCTGGGACCTGGTAAGATACGACAGGGCAAGCAAGGGACAGCTGAGATTGGAGCTGGGGAAGGAGGCCAGGGACAGAGCATTTAGACGCCAGGGCATGGCAGAATTTCTGTCGGTGGATTAGGGCAGGGGGCTGGGGGCGGGGGCACAAGCATGGAAGCAGAAAGGACACCGGGTGTAAATCAGTGACAGGGCAGTCCCAGGATGCTCTTGCTGAAAGTCACAACGGGCGGGGCATCCCGGACGCTCCCCGCCCCCACTGCCCGGAGAATAGAGAGACCAGGCCGGAATATTTAGTTCACTTTACTGGGGGATCCCGGGAGACACAAGTGCACAAGGAGAGGGCCCTAAACTGCCGCGGGAGAAGTCAGAGGGGTCACACGCGGGGCTCCGCCCCAGCCCAGGCACCTCCGGAGGCCACTGGGCCCAGGCCCAGGCCCTGAAGTCCATGAGACCCCAGGGAGGCGGGGCCTTTCTCCTCAGCCCCACTCCGCCCCCATCCGTGGTAAGCTCGTCTCCGTCACAGGGTGGTGGTCCCTGCGGCCGAGGGGGCCAACTCCAGGAGCCCCCGAGTCCGCTTCTGCGTCTGAACGCCCCAAGGTGGGGCTCGGCTCAGACAGTCGGGTTGGGCTGCGAGGACACGCCCAGGCCCCTGTGCCTTGCTCAGGACACGCAGGGAGGACCTTCCCGGCACGAGGGGCTGGTCACCTCCGGGGGACGGGAACCGGGACACAGATACACATACAGCCCCCAAGACTGGTGGGGTGTCCAGTGGAGGTCGCTACTGAGAGAAAACATTGAGATGGGCGGAGAGGGCCGAGGCACAGGTCACCACACAGACACTGAGAGGACACGGAAGCATCTGCATTTGGGACAGCAGGTGATGACCCCAACAGCGCCAGGCCAGGTTACTGGGGGGGCGGGGGTGGGAGGGGACTCCAGGGCTGGACTGCAGCTCTCTCCCAGGGGCGTTTCCTCCTCTCTAGACACCTCCTCTCTAGGCCCCTGGTCAGCTCCCACGCTGGCCGGACCAGCCCCCACCTCTCAGGGGTCCCCTCAGGTCCCCTCCGGTATTTAATTCACTCAGCAGGTGAACTGGGAGACCCTATCATCTTAAATCAGGGGCTGGTCAGCCTGAGGGAGGGACGCCGCCTGGCACTGCAGAGAGAAGCCAATCATCTGGGTGTGAATTGCCCCAAACTGAAAACGGTGGCAAATCATTGGAAAACAGTGCAATCCGACTGATAGAATCAGCCTGTGGACACCAGCAGGTGGCCTTCGCCTTGAGGAGCTGGCTCATTTGTTTCAGCTGCACCTGAGGTGGGCGGGGCTGCTTGGTCCTTCCATTTCTTCCTCCTCCTCTCCAGCTCCTGGTAATGCGTCCCCCACTCCTCCCTCGCCTTCCCACCTCTCCTCTTTTCCCAGGAGCGGCCCCCTCTGCCTCTCAGGCTTCTCTTTCTGGAGAAGTTACACGCCCAGGCATATCCCGAATGATCTGTTCCCCCAGGCAGGGAACTCGGCTCCATCCTGACACCCACCACCCAGCAGGTGGCCAAGCCTTCAGCACAGACCTCAGGCTCCAACGGATTGAGGCGGAGGGACAGTGGCCAGAAGCATATGTCTGGAACCACTCGGGCCCCACAGAGAACCAGAAAGAACTCTCTGGCACTGCTGACCTCTCGCCGTGCCCGTCTCCACGGACACACTCCCGTGGGCCACCCAAAGCCACGCCCACTTGGTGCCCCTAAAACAAGAGCCCATCACCTGGGGCTGCTGCCTCCAGGGGTGCCTGTTTCTCTCTCCTTCGTCTGTCAGGGTCGCTCGGGCCACCTGCAAAGGAGGAACTGGAAGGTGAAGGTGAGACCCGCGGTGCGCGCCGCGCGCACAGCAGAGCACAGAGCGCACGGTTAAGCGGGAGACCGGCTTCTGCTGGAGGGAGGGCGGAGGGAGCGCGGAGGGAGAGGCCACATCCCCGGCCGCGGCCACGCCGTCTCTGAGCGCCGCTAGCGGCACTTGGGGGGCAGCCTTCGGCCCCGACGAGCCTTCTTCCCGCGGGCCGACTTGGAGCCGGTGGGCGGCTGCCCTCTGGCGTCGCCGGCCTTGGCGCGCGCCCCGGCGCCTGCACGCCGCTTCTTTTTCTTGTCGCCCGCCGCTTCGTCCTTGGCTTTCTTCTCGGGAGTGACGCCCCGCCCGCCGCGGCCTCGGCCTCCCCGTCGGGTTTTGCGGGGCCCCGAGGAGGCGCCGGCCTGACCCAGGACCTTGGAGGCCGTGCGGGCGCGCTTGGCCCGCGGCTTCCTGGACGCCGGGTCCTCGAGCTCCGACTCCTCGCTCTCCGTGTCCTCGGACGCCTCGTCCGAGCCCCCGTCCGAAGCCCCCTCGGACTCCTCCTCCGACTCCCGGTTCTCACGCGCGGCCAGGAGCGCCAGGACCTCCCGCAGGCTGCCCTTGGCGTATTTGAACTTCCCGCCTTCCCAGGCCTCTCCTTTGCCGTCCTTCATCGCCTCGGACGTGTCCTGGGCAGCCAGGAGCGCCACCAGTTCCAGGAGGCCCCCCTCGTCTTCCTCGTCATCACCCCAGCCCCCGAGGAGCCCACGCGGGGCCTTCTTCCCCTTGGGCGCGGTCTCCGGCTCCGCCAAGGTAGAGATGCATTCCAGAAGGTTCCCGTCGTCCTTGGCCTTCCTGAGGACCATGGCGTCCACCTGGCGGCCTGCCTCCTCCACCGTCACGCGGGTTCCGGACGTGTCCTTGGACATGACGGACAGGACCTCCGGAAGGACATCCTCTGTGTCTTTCTTGTCGCTCCAGCCCAGCGACTCTATCACCGAAGCGATTTTCAACATCTCTTCGCGGGCAGAGGGGTCCGAGGGGTCTGTATACGCCACGATGGCCACAAACTCGGGGTTGCCCACCCCCTCTCGGTCCTGGTCCCCGTTTTCCTGCGACTCGCTCTCGGAAGCGTCGCTCTCCATCGGCTCCTCGTCCGACGCGTCTCTGACAGCAAGGAGGGCCACCAAGTCAGGCGCCGCCCTCGGGTCCTCCACGTTCGGGCTGACCGACTCGGCCCCAGCGGGCGCGTGGTCCATCGCCTCCTTCTTGGCCTTGTCCGTCACCGTCACCAGGGCCAGGAACTCGCGGGGACCGTCGCCGTCGTCCGCATCTGCCTGCAGGGCCCACTTCTTCGCCAGCTCCTTGGCGGCGGCCTGGAGCGTGGCGTACAGCGCCCTCTGGTCATGGTCGCCGCTCAGGTCGTCCTCGGCGATCTCCTCGATCACGATGCCCAGGCTGTCATCGGAA